CGGGTGCGCTCGCGCGCACCTACTGACAAAACAAAAACCTCCCCCGCTGGCAACACGAAAAAAACCCCCAGACGGTTCTGCCCGAACCACCCGGGGGCTCGGGGCTACACCCGCGGGTGCGCTTCGCGTGCACCCATCGTCAAGGCAAAAATCCCTAGATGATTCTGCCCGAATCGCCCGAGGGCTTGGAGGCTCCTATCGGGTTCATAAACTTGGGATCCCTCGCGGACCGGCTTCCCCGCAAAGGCTTGGCCCAAGCAGACAGCGTGCAACTCATGGGCCGGCCCAAGAGCCTAAACAACAGGCTAGAAGGGCGATCCAATCACCGACCGGAAGGTCTGTCCGAGGAGGAGCAGTGCCCGTTTGTTGACTCTGGCCCACCTCTCTCGACCGGGAGCTCACTTGACCTCCGGCCGCCTTTGGGACGGTCTCTCCACCGGAAGGCCTGGCAAACACTACCTCCAACTCGACCCCACGACTCGGCCAAGGGGGATGCAAGACCCTACTTTCATTTGCTCTTCTCCATTGGCGCAACCAGAGCAGACTGGGACCAACCGACCGGAGACGCCCGCCCGGAAAGGACCAGGGAACAAACGGAGAAGAGCAGGGCAAGGCTCACAAGTCAAACTACGATACCAGGGATCGTACCCTGTACACCTACAAGAATAGTACTCTGCAACCGCCCTGACACAAACAGTGTTGTAGGCGCCGACATTTTCCCTATAGTTTTGTGGGCGCCATTAACTCCCATATGGTAAGGCCCCGTACTAGGAGAACATGGTAAAAGCCCTTACATGCCTCTGGGCATCGATAGTGTTGTGGGCACCGGCATTTACCGTACTAGGAGAACATGGTAAAAGCCCTTACATGCCTCTGAGCATCAACAGTATTGCAGGAACCGACATCTGCCATACCCGAACAAGACGACGTGACCTCCCATGTGCATCTGACAACCAACAATATTGTGGGCGCCTACCATCATCTTGTACCCGCCGGCATAGGCAGCAAGGCTTAGAAACATACATACTTCCTCCCTCTCACTTGTAAAGCCATCCCCTTCATCTATAAAAGGGGATGCGCTCTCTCCCAAGTCAGAACAAGTTGATTCAAGTTCATACATGTGATTCCAGATTCATTAGATCGACCAAGTTCACTAGCTCACAACCACAGAACCACCAGGTTCGGACCTCAAGCACACGCTTGAACACTTAACTCATAGCGGAGCTCCTGTCGCTCTCGGTCCTTCCGACCGGAGCCGACCGGACCTCTTGTACACCCCATCTTTCTCCTTCTCGTTTGTAACCTCACTGCAAACTTCGAACACCAGGGCTTAGGAATAAAGTCACCGATCGACTCAAACTGGACGTAGGGCATGTTGCCTTAACCAGTATAAACCCTGTGTCATTGAGTGCTAGGCCACCTCCGATCACAACGTACGGCAAAACTATAAATATTTACTTGTTGGTCACTTTACGCACCGAGCGAGAAAAAGAACACCGGCGGCGGGACGGGCCAGATGCGGAAAACGGATAGCTATCGCACGCTGGCCGGAGAGCAAACCGGCGCCACGGGCCGGTACGAGTTCTCTTACCGTTTCGGTATGGAAGGAATCCGGAGTAGTCCCGGATGTCCGTTCCGCTCCGACGACCGGCCCATGAGGGAACAAAACCAAACGCTCGTGGGCCGGGAGAAGGCCCTGTTTCCTCGCTCAAAAAACGAAGGGGCTGAGACGAATATATTTATTTTAGTTCCTAAAAAACTAATATATTTATTTTAACAGTTTTATTGCAAAAGTAATTCGCCGACTCAAAACTCAGTAAAGTCTAGGCTCCTGTCGCCATCTTATTTTGCGGAGACAAATAAGCGCTATTTTAGACAGTTTATCCTAGCTCTACTTCTTTCTACAGTACATAAAGAGCCAAAGTTGATGGAACCAGTTATTCAGTTCAGTGTTGTTTGGGAGGGTTTCTCCTCCTAAAACGGCCATGACTTTTAGGGAAATGTACACTATAGCATAGATTCATCTATCTCTTTCTTATTACTAAACTTAACTAAAAGTTTGTGAAAACTAGAAAGATTGGCTTCACCGGCTTTGACCACCAACTCAAAATCAGACACCCCCACCTCCACCCTTGACTCAATGTTGCACTATACAATATTCTCTAGAAGGAGAAACCGTTTAAGCCCTCCCAAACGGAGTTGAGCATATATATAGGCTTACGTCGCCAAAATTCTTTTCACACACGAGAGCTAGCGAAAAGGAGATGAGCTAGCTGTATGTTGGCACCAAATATTTGAGCATTGAATGTGCACCCTTAGTGTCGCGCCTTGTCAAGCCTTCTGTGGAAATAGATGCTTTGGTTTCAGAAATTGGATGGTGTTGTATTCTCGGGTCTTACCGAGAAGTCGAGAAGTGTAACCATGTGGTGCAGAACGACTATGTCTACAATCGAACTAGCAAATGTTATCTACTGTGTAAACTTGATGATGAATGGCTAGTAAAGACTGGTTGACACATCCATCAGGGCATAGATATTATCAGGTTGTCCTAGGTTAGTTAACACCCTAAGACGCCACATGTAGTCATCAGATTAGAGATGAGCGATAACATTGTGGAAGAGAGGTTAGGAGAAAAGAAGGAAAATGCAAGATTAGATGGATTTGGTTCGGTTGGGTGCATCTCCTTCGGCATTCGCAACCTCTTTATACTTATAATAAGTTAGGCAAATCTAATCTCCTGTCCAAATCGTATTTCAAAACGACCATAAATCTGCAACCCCGCACTCTATCCGAAAAAACAAGTGGACCCAAACTATCAAATCAAATGATCTGGCATGCCAAAAGTAAGTCTGATTTTCCATATGTGTGATATGCATATCATCATACTCTCACACCCGAACTTCAAAATGGACGAGATCCATGCATTTGTTTGGATTGTCCCGACAAGGGCTTTGTCAATGTCATGGTGAACTTTAATACGTGAGTTGACCTCATTTGGTTGCTATTTCAAGTAGCCTTCCTTTATATTTTAGTAAAAAATACAGCTACATTAGGATAAATGTGACCTACAGAATACTTAAGAGCATGTGTTGTAACGCAGAAATTCCATAAGAAAAAAAATCCCGTGTTCTAAATAAAGTCTAATTATGTTGGCTTTTGGGACGTACTATGAAAACAAAACTGAAAAAGTATAATTAGCTTTTATCTTGGGATGTATATAGAAACAAAACTAGGAAAAGCAGCCTTTTTTGTGACGTATGGAAACAATTTTTTTTAAATGGCAAAATCTTGGGACCTATATGGAAACAAAACTAGAAAGAGCAGCCTTTTGGGATGTACACATAAACTAAAAATTTTAAAAATGCAAAAGGGCAAAACATAACAAAACTAAAAAAACATATAATTAGCTTTATCTCGAGACATATATGGAAACAAACTAGAAAAAACAGCCTTTTGGGACGTCCGGAAACAATTTTTTTTAAAAAAACACAAATTCTTGGGATATATATGGAAATTAGAAACAGAAGCCTTTTGGGACGTACGGAAACAAAAAATTTGAAAACGAAAAAAAAGTACAGAAACAAAAAAATTTAAAAAGGGAAAAACCTAATCATAAACGCTAGAAGGAGCTTATGGTTAAGGTCTATACTCCATACGCTCTAACCAACTGAGCTATTCCAGCAACTGGCTTTGAGTTCATATGTACTTTTTATTGTTCGATATTCAACAGGACTGCTTCTTAGATGGGATTCACAAATGATTTGACACCATCTGTTTTCAAAGATGGGATCCACAGGGATAAAAAGATCAACCTTTCTCTCAACTAGTTGCCTTCGTTTGTCATTTTTTTGTTTTTCTATTCTATGGCCCTGGTTCCATTCTTCGAACCTGGATCTTCATAGGAGCACACCCACAGTGTATGGATCCTGGCTCTATAGAAGTATTTGGGTATGTTTGATTGCTCGCATATATCTAGCATGTTCTGCATTCAGGGACCTGGCTCACCCCATCTAGGTTGAGCGCATGTATGCTCTTTTGTTTGCTTGCATGCAGTGTGCCTGAAATATTAATTATTTATGATATTATGTCATAATAAAATTAAATTTACTTTATTCAATCTTAATTTGTTTTAAAATCACTTAATATTCACTAATTATGTTTTAATGACCATTAGTTATGGTAATCCTGCAAGGCGCGAGTCTGGCTATGGCTGGATAAGGTCGGGCATTTCCCTTGGGCCTGGCTCGGAGCACTCTTTTGCATGCGCTCGGCCGGTTCCGGCGACACGCCCACACAACCAAACGAGCTGGACCTGCACGCAACGCCGGAGGATATACAGGCAACCAAACAGGCGATTAATGCATAGGACCAGCTAAGGAACGGTCATTGGAGATTTGGAGAGGCCCTATCGCGATATTAAATGATAGATATAACGCTGTCCCCTCCAGTACCACCAGTCGCCAGTCGGTAGTCGAGTCAGTCAGCAGTGTGAAGAAACAACCATCTCCGAAGCAAGAAGCTCTCACAGGGAAAAGGAAAGGAGGAAGAAAGGGGAAAAGAGAGATGAGCTACCAGAGAGTCCCTCCCGAGGAACCCTACCCTCCTCCAGGCACGCAATTTCTTCACCCCCGTCTTCTCCTCGTCTCCTTTCTAGGACCATTATCCGTAACTTATTGGTATCTGATTCACTACACTGGTCTGATCCCCTCTACTATTATCCGTAACCAAATCCAGCAAGTATGGTAGTCAACTGTTCTTGTCTGTCACGGTTCATGCTCAATCCTGCAAGCCTGCTGGGAAGGATCAGCCCTGTTATTGATTATCCTGTTTCTATGGCTGCTCTGCAGTCTCGCTTTCTCAAGACGTTACTGTTCTTGCGAGCTACCTACTCCATGCGCGAAATCTTGTCTGAAGTGATTCTTCATGTCGTGATGCCATAGTTTATCTCACTGCAATTTCAGGGTATCCTCGTCAGGCGTACCCTTACCCACCACCACCAGATGTGTACCCTCCTCCCCCTCGGGGCCATGGACATCCACCACCTCCGCCGCCGCCGCAGGGGCCTTACCCCCCACCTCAGCACCCTCCACCGGGGTACCAGGGTTACTTCAACGACCAGCAGCGCCCTTACTACCCGCCGCCGCCACCGCATGGAGAGTATCAGCAGCAGCACCACCACCACAACCATGGAAACGAGGGTAGCTCAAGCTCCTCCGGGTTCCTCAAAGGATGGTAATGAAAAATATACTGCAACTGCTTCATGTTAATTTTGCCGTCAAGCATGCATTTCATTTTCTGTGTGCTAGTGTGCTGCATGCTTATTGTTTGAGAGTAGAGATTTAGAGGTCGCTGTGGATCCTGGCTTATGTTGCGGTTTGCTCGAGTTGGATGAGAATGAGATCTTGAGCTAGGGTAATTAATATATACAAAGCTCATCAGGATCTTATTGCTTAGTCTGGACTTAAGTAATGATTAGCAGTTTCTAGTGTAACTCGGAGGAGAGCAAGATCCTTGTAACATTATTTATGTTTTGTTTGGTCCCTGAACCATTGTTGGCATGCCTATTAAAGTATTAAGTGCTAATTTAGACACTGCTGTAAGACATGCTATTTTTACTTTTGCTGTAAAGAAAAAGTCTTTTTTTTCTTCAGATAGTGGACGTATCTAAATGTAGTCTTTTTTTGCATGATGCAGTAAGATTCAGTGAGTCTTGGTAACCTTTAAATAAAAGCAGCAAGAAATGAGCAGTCACATATATAATATATTCAGTCTTAGTGATCTTTAACTATGACCTGTAAGAAATAAGCACTCACATACATTCAGTCTTTAGTGACCTTTTTTAATTATGGCCAGGAAGAAATAAGCAGTCACATACTCACATATGTTCTGTAGTCTTAGGGGTCCATTCAGTTATTGTAAGGCATTTTTGCTTATGTATGAATGTACATCCCTTGACAGAGTAAATTCTGGTAATGCAAATCTGGCCAGTCAGACTAGTGATGAGTTATACAGCTGTAGCACCATCATAACCAGGGTTACAAGCTAGGCACATGAACATTAACAAATCAAACATGTTATTCAGTTTTTTAAGACTCTCTCTGTTTGCTTAATCTCATGTAAATATCTGCGTCTCATTTTGGTCTGTGTGGTCTGCAGTTTGGCTGCTCTCTGCTGTTGCTGCCTGCTGGAGGAATGCTGTGGCTGCTTCTGAGATGTTAGATACTATCCGCTAATCGGATCCTATGCTATTGTTGCTAGCGTTCTGGAGCATCCGAGTATTAAGATGTAGTAACTGTGCTTGTAAATAATCTGGAGCAGCAGTGTGTTCTTGAGCTTCCGGTCCAGCATTCTATTTTCAAACAGACCATAATTTGTAGTATGTGCTATGCCTTATTATCTGAAAATAAAGGATGCTATTCATGGGGTTGTAAATAAGGTATTTGCATAGCTTGATCAGAGAACGCCTGCCATACCCCTAGTCAGTGGTAGGTGTAAGTTTGCAATCTATTTTGGATACCAAATTATAAGGAAACCCTGAAACAAAAGGGTTTTCGTGGTGTAGTTGGTTATCACGTCAGTCTTACACACTGAAGGTCTCCGGTTCAAGTCCGGGCGAAAACAATTCATTTTGTTCCTACTTTTTTTTTACCGCTTTCTTCTGTGCTTTGCGCGTGCACGAGGGTTTTTTTTTTTGGCCTCCAGGCATTACACCTCCTTGTGATGTGGCAACAAAACAACAATAGGCTAAACAAAGGAAAACATGCACGTCACTGTTGATGGGATTAGAGCGCTGCCGAAATGGGCCTAGCAAACGGATATCAGTTACAATCTTTGGGCAACTTGAAGGTACTAGGGAAAGTAAAGAGCATCACCATGAGCTCTTTAAATAACTCTGTAGTTTCGTTTTTTGTTAAAAAGAAGAAAAAATAATCCTAACATTTTTGTATGTGAACTCAAAGATAAAAATCATCCTCTCAACTCATAAATATATGCGTGCGTTACGTGCTTGCGATCCATTTTGATGCCTCCTTCACCGCGATTTTTCTCCTCTCCCACCAAGCTAGTTTTTCGTCCTCCCATCCGTTTTTTTTAGTTTTAGAAAAGTAAATTATTGAAAACTATTGGAGAAAGAAAAACTTTCCATTTATTTTGCTCACAAATAGCTAGCAAGGTTGCCTACGCGTAGCGTGGTATATAACCTTTTTTGTTATTTTTTTACTTGAGAATATTTTTTTAAAATAGTTTTGTTTATTACTTTTATTATAATTTTCTGTCTTCATTTGCCTTCCTGCATCCATCGGTATGAACTCCTTGTAAATATCGTTGATCAAGTCCTTCAATATTGTCGTCCACCTCTTCCCTTTTTTTCCACTTCTACTTTGTGGTCGTGCAAATTTTTTTGCCAAGGCCAAATCAAGGAGTCCTTTAGTTTTCTCTTGGTGAGTTGCATTTCTCAATAAAACTACTATCCAAGTCTCCCACTATTTAGTTCCTTGGTCCTCCTATATATTTAATTTTTCGTTCGTATTTTTTCTTCTCTTGTGAATCCATAATTGCTCTTTTTTTAATCCTAAGCCATCATCGGATTTATCACAATCCTACACTTATCTTTTGGAGACACTTCTACCTCAAGCAGCCACAGGTCAGTCCCATCATCATACCAACATCCATCGACACATCTCAAAGTGCATCTAGCTCTTTAGTAAGCTTTAGTGAATTGTATGACATCACGATTAAAGATCTAACTAATTTGTTCTGTGTTAAGCAGCACATTAATTGTATCATATGTATTTGATAAAGGCGTTATTAAAAATCATTATTATTCAAAGATCAAATAACTAGCAAACAAGTATGATGTTCCATGTGTGATTGATGTTATGAAGAATGACAGGCCAATGTATGAAAAAAGAAAAGAGATACGAACTTAAGCATATTCATGGTCTCATTTGTGTCGACATGCATCTAAATATCATGGAGTGTGAGGGGCTCCTCCAAAGGAGCTAGAGCTGTTTTGGAGGAGCCACAATTTGTAGCTCCTTCAAAAACGGCTCTGGCTCCTCTGTTTTCCTTGAAAAACGGCTTCTCCTGCAAATTGTTTGGTTGAGCTCCTTTAGAGGAGCTGGAGCCGAAGCCAGAGGAAGAGCCCTACCAAACAGGCCCTAAATCGATGTGATTTTTTTCCGAAGAAACTGCAGCAAGAGCATGCCGGGTATGTATTAATAGAGAACAAGTTTTACAGAAAATAATTAAAAAAAAACAAAAACAAAACCCTCATGAAGGAGGCAACAGCAAGACCACCACCACACGAAAACACAACACCAGCGAACCTCGATGCGGTGATTTGGTCATCTAGAGTAGTAGTGCTCATGAATTTCCACACCATTCTATTTTCAAACCAAGCATAATTTGTAGTAAGTGCTATGCTTTTTCCAAAAATAAAGAATATCATGGGATTGAAAATAAATTATTTGCATAGCTTGACTAGAGAACGCCTGCCATGCCGTTGACCACTGTGGTGAGTTTACAATTTCCTAGAGAAACTAATTAACGGAGTCCATAAACAGCAATGTTTTTGTCGGGGACCAAATACTGGGGTACCCAAAGAGGAGCTAATAACCATTAAATGTTGATGCTTCTGAACAGACAAGAACGCAACAACACCTTTTGTCCAAATGACCGAGGGTTAACTCCGTCCCGTCCGACGTCTGGGGGGCTGGCTCCGCCTCGCTCGATGTTCGAGGGCTGACTCCGCCTCGCCCGACATCCGAGGGCAGGCTCCGCCTTGCCCGACCCCGAAGGCTGGCTCCGTCTCGCCCGACGTCTGGGGGCAGACTCCGCCTCGATGTTAAGCATGCACTTAACCTTGACATTTCATGATCACAATCATCATTGAGCATTCATGATCATGAGCATCAGTCATGCATTTATGAGCTTATATCATATGAAACATGTTTTTGAAACATTGCAACGTATCGTTATGTTTCATGTGTGTTGTTTCCTTTATAAAATGAAAAGTGTGCAACACTTAAGTGCAACATGTGCTACTCACTTTAGTGAAACATGGTTAGTTAGCTATGCAACAAGATCATGAAACATGTGAAACAGGACTATGAAACATTTGTAACATTTCATGTGTTTTTCATTGTTTCAGTACATACCTTGCTTGATTCTTGTGTGACCAGTGTTTGGTGTGGCTAAAAATTCTTTTAAGTAACTTAGTTACATTTATAATGTCATTTGGGACATTGTTCATGTTGATCACTTTGACTAATTAGGTTCCCAAGTCATGGTTTGACCCATTTTGACCCCTTAACACTTTGGTTTGACTGTTTAAAAAGTGTAGCTTAGAATGTTTGCATGTCTGAGCAACCTAAAACAAAGTTGTAGCAAATTTGATAAGGAACAAATTTTGTTTAGAAGCCAAGTCATGAAAATGTGCACAACATGTTCAAAAATGGCCCACAAGTCAGGATTGAAAGCTGTTTCAACAATTAAAATTTTTTCTAAGTGTTATACTGGATTTCAGTTTCATGAACTCGACTTTGGCTTGTTATAACTTGTAATCCTTTGTGAATTAGACTTTGATCCTTGAATAGAAAATGTAGATGGAAGGTAGCTCTACAACTTTCATGTTTATTGCTTCCACTAATACGCCACGGTTTAGGAGTTAATCACTGTCAAAATAGCGCTGTCAGTCGGTTCATTTGGTAACTGAAACGAAAAATTCAGACTGCTACAGTGCACTGCCGGTTCAGAGCTCGTTGGCCCCGTGGCGCCGCGCGTCGCCGGACGCCTGACCGCGCGAGCCACGCGCTGTGGCCGTCCTGGCACCGCTGCCGCTGTCCACTGCAAAAGCCGCGCTCCTCTGCCCTCCCATTCACTCTCATTCATCCTCCGCTCGTCCGAAGCGCCGCAGCACTCCCAGCAGCAGCACAGCGGCTCCGCCGTCACCATTGACGGCACGAGCTCGCGCCTTGCCACTCTAACACCGCCACAGGGTCTCCATTGTGCTTCCACCGTCACCTCGCGCCCTCGTTTGCTCACTGGCAGCGCCTGGTAAGCCGTTGTGCCGAGCGCATTCCTCACCGGCGTTTCACCGCCGCACCCCGTCACCATGGCCGGCTCATCTCCGACCACCGCGAGTCCCGTTAGTGTGTGCGCTAGAGTTGCTTTGGGATGGTGAACCTCGGCGTAACCTTTGATTTCGTTGTCTCAGTCGCCGTTGATGGCTC